GTGATGACGTCAGATCGCCCAAAGTTTCATAGTGCGTGACAGTAACAAGTTCGGTGTAATCAAGAATTTTTTAATTAAACAAATTTATAAAACAAAACAAAAAACAAATAAGAAACCCTCATGGTATATTTTAGAGTCAAATCTAAATAAACCTAACAAATTATACTTTATTCTCTACAAATTTCATCCGTAATTAAATTAGCAACATGTTTTGAAAAGCGTATTGAGTTTAAAGAATGAATGAGGTGCATTTGAAATTTACACCGACGAATCTAACGAATTTGAATTAGATGTCTACTGAAAAGAATAACCAGTAGAAACTTGCTTTGTTGAGTTCCGTCTTTATTGCAGGTTGATTCCAAATGGTTTTTTAGGATTAAAATCAAGAATATACGCTTATTAAAACATTGGAATGCGTAAATTTCACTTCATAATTAACCAACAAAACGTCTACTGGTGTGTCGTATTAATCAACAGATAATCTCCATAGCAATGCGAGTATTTTATTAAAGTGGGACTTGGGCTTTACTTTATTTCTGAAGATTAAATTGCATGTAGAACATTACACAACCGTCTATGTGTATATCCTTGTGTTTGCTTCTGGACTGGACTACTGGACTTCGTCACACTAGGCCTCATGTTTTTGTGGAAAGTCTAAGCTAGATAGTTGTTATGTACCCGACAGTCGAATGCCTTTATATCTTCACTTGTCTTCAGTTTGCATTCAAAGGGTACACTGCTGCATAGCCAACTGTCGGGGATATAGTACCTTCATATGACTACTCATACAACATAAAAAAACGTCGCATGGAAGTAGTGAAAAATGGAGATCTAATTAAAAAAAAACGATGTATTTCAGCAAGTATTAAAACCCTTTTTTTATATTAGGCCTTCTTCAAAATGCCTATGCCTACAGCAGTTGATTTTTTTTTGCCGCAAAACCAAAATAGTTTCATCCATGCCGACTTACCGATCGGTTAGCGTGTGCCCTGACTGAACACTGCAGAAACTTCACATCGAACTTCGCATCGTGAGGTAAAACAAAATGTCGGAAAACTTTTCTTTGACGTATGCGCATTTGCATAAATGTCTACACACACACGCACACACTACACACAGGAAAAACAGTGAAGAGTGATTACAATAGTTCCTATTGCATTACACTTTTTTTTTTTTTATAAGAACACTGAGGCTGAAATTGCTTAAAAATTAAGAACAAAATAAGAACAAATTGAGGCTGAGGTAGAATGTCAAACTACAAAAACCAAAAAATTATATCTGTACCTTAGGCCCAATAAAAAAAATTATTAGTTTATCACCCTCGCGCGCATGTCTTTTATGGTACAGGAAAAAATTTTAATTTTTTTTTTTTTTTTGACATTTATTTTATTTCTTTTATTTTATTTATTTTTTTTTTTTTTTTTAAATTTTTTTTTTTTTTTTTTTATTAAATAGTTAGTAGATATTGTTTGCATTATCTAAATCATGTTTTACTTTGAATATCAATGCACCAGCAAACAACCCAAGGGTGATATTTGGCTTTAGCAAAATAAAAAATTGTGCAGTAGGTGTGACTATGCAATACCCTCTATAATACAGTACATGCTTTTTACTAGACTTGGCTACCTCTTTCTTTGCAAACTTGTTCCTAACCTTTCGTTTTTCACTCCTTGTCTTGTAAACCTTATCCTTAGGAGGATTGTCCTTTGACCTATGAACTTTGACCTATAGGGTGAAGAGTAATATTTTTTTTTTTCATGTTTAGAAGGTCCTAAGGATATTTCCTGGTAAATTTGAGCTATTTTTAAAATTTCACCCCAGTGACCCCTGATCCCAGACTGGGGTGTAGGAGATGTTACTGGATCTTAATGACCAAATTTGATTGAATTCGGTCCAATTTACATTAGTAGCATTTTAAAATCTTACCAGATAGAACAAAAGAATTACCCTTTAATGACCTTTGACCCTAAATACTATTAAATCCTATCTTATGCCAATGCATGTGTGACTAGGACAAGATTGTGCTGTAATTTGTCCTTTATTCATTTTTTATTTTTTATCCTAATGACCCCTATGTGACCTTTGACCCATGCAGTAAACAGCCCATGTATGAGAGGACGTTTCACCGGTTATACTGACTAGGATTTGTTGAAATCGGCACAACCGTTCGGCACTGGTAGCGTTTTGAAATTTAGCCAGAAAAAAGATAAAAATTACCCCTTAATGACCTTTGAGCCTTATGTCAATGCATATGTGCAAAGGATAAGACTGTTATGTTATTTGTGAGAGTAGTCTTTTATACAATATTTGGGTTTTTTCACCCTAATGACCCCTATGTGACCTTTGACTCCCAAGTTGTGAAAACCCCATAAATGGGTGGTGGCACCGGTCCTAATGACAAAGTTTTAATAAAATCCGTCCAGTAGTTTGCCACTAGTAGCCTTTTAAAATGTTGCCAGACAGAAAGAAGAAACTGCTCAGAAACAGAACCCAGTCAGTTTGGACTGACTGGTTAAGGTTCTGCTCAGAAACAGAACCCAGTCAGTTTTAATTATTATACTAATCTTAGATGTAAAGTTATGAATCTAATATCACTATCTAAATTAAACGATAGATTAGATAAGAGTGTGCCTTACTTTGGCATTGGCTCTCCTTTCCTCTTGCAGGTTTTGTAGTGCTGTGGCATTGCCTTGAAGGATGCTACTTAGCTCTGTAACCTCAGCTGCATGCCGCTCTTTTTCCTTTTAAATAAAAAATAGTTTAAGATTAGGTAATTTAAATTGTACTATCATAATGATTATATGTAGTATTACCTATATTTACATATTATCTGGGCCCTTTAGTCTTGACTTAGGCCCTGTGACAGTGTAGCTAGTAGGGCCCTAAACATCGGGTTCTGTAGGTTTCAGGGAGAACACAACATGAAAAAGGAGTTTGGGGCGAAGGGTAGTTGGAAGCCTAATGTAAATTGTTAAAGCGCATAGAGGTATTTTACATGCGCCATATAAATTTACAATTATTATAACAGATCATGAAGCGTATTTTATTCAACTTAAAAATTATGATTCTTTACCATGTATAACAATGTTTTTTTACCTTTACCAGGGATGCCAAGTTTGTCAATTAGCTGGAAGTGAGAACAATCAAACAATCGAGGGGTGTATAAGAGACAGATCTAAATCATGTTTTACTTTGAATATCAATGCACCAGCAAACAACCTAAGGGTACGGTAATATTTGGCTTTAGCAAAATAAAAAATT